AATCTCTGTCACCTCCTCCAGCCCCTACACCCCCTCCCTATCTCTGTAACCTCCTCCAGCCCCTATACCCCTCCCTATCTCTGTCATCTCCTCCAGCCCCTACACACCCTCCCTATTTCTGTAACCTCCTCCGGTCCCTACACCCCTCCCTATCTCTATATCCTCCTACACCCCCTCCCTATCTCTGTAACCTCCTCCAGTCCCTACAACCCCTCCCTATCTCTGTAACCCCCTCCAGCTCCTACACCTCTCCCTATCTCTGTAACCTCCTCAAGCCCCTACATCCCCTCCCTATCTCTGTAACCCCCTCCAGCTCCTATACCTCTCCCTATCTCTGTAACCACCTCCAGCATCTACACCCCTCCCTATCTGTAACCTCCTCCAGCCCCTACACCCTCTCCCTATCTCTGTAGCCCCTGCGATCCCGACCTCTCGAGCATCCCCCGATTTCCATCCCTCCGCCATTGGGGTCCATGCCCCTCAGCTAACTGGAGGGGGTGCCCCAAGCTCTGGAAATCCTTCCTTAAGCCTCTCTGCAACCTCCCCCGCCTTTGCAAACCGTGCCTCCCTCAGACATTCCTCCTCATTTGAGGCGGGCCATTGCTGGTGTTTTCCGAGAGGGACAGCGCCATGTGAATGCAGGCGATTTGTTGTTGTAGTGTGAGCACCGTATTCACACACTGGGGAACATTCCCAAAAAACTGATGCCTGGAACCAGAGGTGGGGGAAAACTGGAGGATGGTAGAAGGAGGTGAGGCGCAGGTCAACCTTGATGCGACAGCATGGCTCCAGAGTGATGGGCTGAATGGTCTCCACTCGTGAACCAACCCCACCCTGATCCCCATCCCTTTGTTAACCGTCCGATAGAATTCGCCACAGCGATAACTCAGCCCTCAGCTCCCCTGAGCTTTCCCCATCCAGGGGGGCAGCTCTCCCTCCCTCTCCCCACCCTCTCCCCTTCACCTCACTTGAGGCTCAAGACCGACACGGCCCCTCAACAGACAGACGCCAACAACAAACGGCCCCTCCTGCATTTGGATGGCCCCGGGGGGTCTGAGTGGCAAGCAAGTGGTCCATTTCACGTCAATAGTTTTGCATTTCCCTAGCGCCTTTCTGCACTTCAGCACATCTCAAGACCCCAGTCAAGATCTCGTCGCTGTTTGAGTATTGGGTGTGACACGGCGGTGGCCATTCACAGCATAGCAAGATCCCACAAAGTGCAATGTAGCTGTGGTCAGATAGTCTGTCTTTTCTAATGTTTCTCGAAATAACAATCTCAGGCCTCTGGGACAAGAGATTTCCTGTGTTTCTGTTTGGAAATAGTGGGTGTGGGAACCTGAGAGGGGCCTTTGGTTAATGTCTCATCTAAAATGCAGAACCCCACATCCACGCAGCACTCCCTCAGCACTGACCCTCCGACAGCGCGGCGCTCCCTCAGCACTGACTCTCCGACAGTGCGGCGCTCCCTCAGCGCTGACCCTCCGACAGTGCGGCGCTCCCTCAGCGCTGACCCTCCGACAGTGCCCGCTCCCTCAGCACTGACCCTCCGACAGCGCGGCGCTCCCTCGGCGCTGACCCTCCGACAGTGCCCACTCTCTCAGCACTGACCCTCCAACAGTGCGACGCTCCCTCAGCGCTGACCCTCCGACAGTGCCCACTCCCTCAGCACTGACCCTCCGACAGTGCGACACTCCCTCAGCACTGACCCTCCGACAGTGCCCCCTCCCTCAGCACTGACCCTTTGACAGTGCAGCACTGACCCTCAGTACTGATGCAGCACCCGAGCCTGGATGATGGGCGTAGGTAATCTTGTATGAGTCTCGAACCCTCGAACCTTCCCTGAACCGAGGACA